GGGAAAGCCGCACGGTTGTGGGGGGAGAGGAAGGGGCAGAGAGAGAGAGAGAGAGAGAGAGGAGGAGAGGAGAGAGAGAGAGAGAGAGAGAGAGAGAGAGATCGTGTTTATAGGAAAGTTTGGAGGGAAAGCCGCACGGTTGTGGGGGGGGGGGGAGAGAGAGAGAGAGAGAGAGAGAGAGAGAGAGAGAGAGAGAGAGAGAGAGAGAGAGAGAGAGAGAGAGAGAGATTGAAGGATTCCACGGTGTCATGGTATGCAAGCAGATGAGCCGCCACTAAGAACACATTCGGGAGCAACCCCCATCTGGAGCTAGCATATTGGAGATCTAGTGTAACCAACCTTCAGTGTGACGGCGGCACTTGGTTGACTGGAAAGAGTCCAATCGCTGTTAGATTTGTCCCGACTACAGCCAATTCGGTGATTTATCACATCCGTAAACTGGCTTCGCACATTCGTTTCATCTTTTTATTAAAAAAAAAAAAAAAAACTCGAAGAAATGCATTACTTACTACCTTACCTCCAACATAACAAGTATCAACAACGACAATATAGAAATTTGCAGACACACACAATGTTTTATATATACATACATCTATGATGTATACCTAGGGCTTTTTCCTGCAAACAAAGTTGCCGCTACTCTCCGCAAAATGTATAAAGGGTGACGGTACTTACCATCCAATTTCTTTTCAAATAAAGCTTAAAAAAAAAAAAAAAGACTTTAATGCACACCGTAGAGTGCCGCCGAAAAAAGAAGCCATACTGAAATTGAAAGACTCGAAAAGGTGCAAAACAAAACAATACGCATCATTCAAGAGTGCACTGGAGATACCTCTTGCGTAGCAATGAGATACCTTTTTGACTTCCCTACCATGAACTACAGGATCTAAATCTGGAGGGCTCGTGCATACCTCAAGATCAGGTCCGGCTGTATATAAACAGAGAAGACCGTGCTCAAGATAAGCTCAGATCTGAAGCATCCTTAGTACCACATGCTCTTCAAGAATAAGGGCATTAGGCTTAAAAGGGGCATATCGTGGCTGGGTAGGGCAGGTTTGCAGCCTTACAGATATCCATCCAGGTGAGCAATGCATACTAAAGCACCTAATCCCACATTCTCCTGTATCGTGACGCTCGATAGGAGTTGTTGGGGTATGTGTGCTTATCAGTGACAAGTCAGATGAGACAGATGTGGTGATCTTCACAGACGTGTCCGTTATACGAGGACATAAGAGTGCATGGGCATTTACAGCTCGCTCTTCAGGCAGAACAGTTCAAGAAGCAAGCGGTGCCTTCTCCATGACAACCAGCAGCATGACGATGGAGGTGATGGCGGTGACACAGGCTTTCATGTGGCTAGAATCACAGAACTTAGTTAGTTAGTTAGTTAGTTAGTTGGGTTATCATCATTGCACTTCGGACAATAGGTGCTCAGATCCTCCCCTCAGTATGAACCCCAACGTCCGATGGCTAATAGTACCAGTTCTATGTTGATTAACAAGTCTTCTGGCGTGTCTGGTGTGCGTATCGTGTTTTGCTGTGCCGATCTTAATTCCCAAGTCTGCCATTCTGGCGAGTGATGTGGATTCACTGCCACCAAAGTCCTCTATCCTTCCCATTTCTCTGAGGGCATTGATAATATCAGCATGATCCATAGGCCGACCGTCGGTAGTGATAGCGGATCCAGCCAACCTGTCAGCTCTTTCATTTCCATCGACGCCTGCGTGTCCCGGAACAAAAATAAAGGTGACTCCACGCACAGTGGACTTCTGAATTGATTCAAGCCATTGTCTTCGCACTGAACCTGCCTGAACCCTCCGGATCATGACGCTCAGATTACAGATCTAGAGTAGAGCTGGATGGGTATCACAGAACTATTCCAGCGTATGTGTGCTGAGTGATTCTTTGAGCATGATTCGGTGGGTCGAGGCAGGCTGGTAACGCAGACAGTGGCTTGAGTCATAGCAAAACTCTCCTGTGTGTGCAGTTAGCTTCATATTCGTCCCAGGTCATGCAGAATGACCTGTTGATGGCAATGAAAGAGCTGTTTGACTGGCAGGTGCTGCATTGATTTAGATGACCGGCCCAAGGATCACGCAGACAGTGTCATTTTTCTTAGAGAGATAGGACGTTCTGAGGATTTTAGAAGCAATGTATCCACATCACTGCTGAGAATGCGAGATTTGGCAGTAAAGATCGGCACAACCAAGCAAGAGAAGCACACCAGACGCATACAAAGCTTTGTTAACCAACATAGGACTGGCCCTATCAAACGCGCGACGCTGATGCATTTGTTGAGAGGGAAATCTGAGCTCCTGTGGACGTGTCCAGTGTGCTGTGAAGATAATCTTATAACTTATACAGATATTAAGGATGTGCAGAAAAGCGAAAAGATTCTATAACTATAACGCATGAAATGAAAATGGCTGCGCCCTTGAGATCGTGGATTCGTGCAGGTTGTCAAACCCTGCAGGGTTTCAAGGATTCCCTGTCCATGTCGGTAAGTATAGTTATATTTGTTGTATATTATATGTAGTCGTGAACAGAAAAGAAAAACACGGCTACAGATTTCTTAGGGTTGAGATGTAGGGTTTGACTTTACTTTAATAGTATATAGTATAGTAGTGACAGCAAGAATGGGCTCTCCTACTTTAAATAACGGTCGCTAGCTGGAAGTGGAAGGCGACGGCCGCTTAGTCGGAGTTCACTCCCCTGGCTGCAGTGCAATTACGGAGTGGAGAAGAGGGAACGAAACAAATTAGATAGTTTTAGTTACGTGTCATCCTAGGGTTAGGCTTAGGGGGCTCTCCTGTCAAATCCGGACGAAGAATAAACAGACCGTGGACGAGTTAGTCAGAGTTCTCTCCCTTGGCCGCACTCCGAACAGTAATTGGAAAACAAACGAAATAAACGACACACTTACCTATCATCCTGCGGTTGCGTGTAGGGCTGCGTACGGTTTCGTGAGGCATTGTGAATGGTTGTGTAGTCATCATCATGCGGTTGTTGGGTTAGAGTTAGGGGTAGGGTTAGGGTTAGGGTTAGGGGTAGGGTTAGGGGTAGGGTTAGGGTTAGGGTTAGATTTAGGGGCAGGGTTAGGGGTAGGGTTAGGATTAGGGGTAGGGTTAGGGTTAGATGTGAAAATTTTGACGTAGGATTTGGAAATACTGGCCGACAATATGATGTTTGTGGGAGTGGCGCCACTGAAACTCTGCCAAATATGACGCCAATAGCGTGCGACTGGTGCCCCCAATCGTTGGCGAATTGTGCGTTTGACCAGCATCCAGAGGCCCTCGATTGTTTGTGTGTGTGTATGGGACTGTGCGCGATTATAGGGAACTCCGGCGTCAAAATTGTCAAATCTAATGCTAAACCTAACCCTACCGCTAACCCTAATCCTACTCCCTAACCCTAACCCCTACCCCCTAACCACGCAAATTTATCGATCATTAAAGCATATAATTCGGCAAACGCCAACAAACAAAACACACCAAAAAAAACACCCAGAATTGCCCTGCAGCGTTGAAAAAAAACCCGGATCTGGGGGAAACAACCAAGCAATGGCAGCCCTGATGTCGACGTGACTGTCTTCTTTGTTTCGTTGAGGCTTTTCCGATCACTGTTTGGAGTGCGGCCAAGGGAGAGAACTCTGACTAAGTCGTCCAAGGCTGTTTATTCTTCGTCCGGATTTGACAGGAGTACCGAGCTTAGGGTTTGGGTTAGGGTTTGGGGTAGTACTGTTAGGGGTAGGGTTAGGGTTTGGGGTAGGGTTAGGTTTAGGGTTTGGGTTAGGGTTAGGGGTAGGGTTAGGGTAACACATCACGGAAACCACACAAGCTTATCGCTCATTACGACATATAGATCCGCAGGTCTCACATCTACGGTCACTAAGTCTTGCGTCGGAAGAACAGGGTCGCTAATTTGTGTCGCAGCGCGTGGTCTACGAGAGTCTTGCGTCGCAAGAACGCGGTCGCTACTGTCAGTCGCAGCGCGTGGTCTAGCTCTAGCAGCCATGTTGACCTCACTTTGTTTTTTGATTCGTCACTTGTCCACTCCGTAATTGCAGTGCAGCCAGGGGAGTGAACTCCGACTAAGCGGCCGCCGACGTCCAACTAGCGACCGTTATTTAAAGGAGAACCCAAGAATGATCTCGTTATTTTAATTTGTAATTTATAGTTATCTATTAATTACCATAATAAACTTGATAAATCACTTTTGCCGTTAAGCTCCTTGGAGAAGAATAACGTTGGCTGCCACTGGCTATTGTCATGCCGTGAAGGCGTAGAGTGTCTTTAATGTTGTCGATTAATTTTCCGCGGCCGTCCTCTTGCTCTTGTAGTTGTAGTATGTAGTGCTTGTAATGCTTGCTGCATTCTAACAAGATGGTCAAACAACTTGATCTGCTGTTTCTTGATGAATCTAGTACAAGGTGTCATTCACACAGTTTGCTTGATAGTTTCATTAGTAACGTGATCTCTGGTGGTTAGTTTGGTTGCTTTTCGCAGGCACTTCCTCTCGCAGGTGGTGATTTTGCGTATATCATATACTATATGGGCTTTAGAAAGTGTCCACATTTGGCACTGGTAGCTTAATGTTGGAATGAATATGCTGTTTATAATCTGTCTCTCTGCACTCATAGTTGTGCTTGGATGTAATGGTGACAGTTGGTATCTAAGTGCTCTTGCTTTCTGACATCTGGTTTCTATTTCTCTGTCAATTCTACCATCTTCTGTGATCATACTTCCTAGATATTTAAACTTTCTAACTTGATTCAGAGCAGAACCATTCAGCTGTATGTGTAGTGGGCCAGGGGTTCTGCACACTTGCATTGTTTCAGTTTTGTTTGCATTGATCTTTATGTTGTACTTACTGCATGCTGAGTCTAACCTGTTAATGTGGTCTTGAAGTCTATCTTCTTAAGAGTAGAGCAAGCACTGGTTGTCAGCAAATAGTAGTTCGTTTAATGTGGTTGAATCAATAACTTCTCCTGATGTGTATACTTCCTCATGATTATAAAGATCTATGTTGTTTGTATCAGAACTTGCTTCTTTAGATATTCTGTCTATATAAATGTTAAATAAAAGTGGGGAGAGCACACATCCCTGTCTTACACCTATGTTGATTGTGAACATATCTGATATGCCTTTATGTGTTTTTATTGCACTTTGGCTTGTGCGGTACATGGCTAAGATGTTCTCTAGTAACTGTCCTTGTACCCCGTAGTTCTCAAGAACAGACCACAGTTTGTTTCTATCCACTCTACCAAAAGCCTTTTCCTGATCTACAAACACAATATTCTGTTTGGTATTATACTCAATAGCTTTCTCACACACTTGCCTCAGAGTTATACTATTAATACTATTATGTTAATTATTATTATTAACTCCTCCTACTGATACAAATGTTTTTTTTTTAGTATTGGTGCTTTCGGTCTAATCAGTTGGATTGCTTTATTGCATCTGTTTCCATCTTGTCTTCCTGTTTGCAAGTTGATTATCGTATCAGAATATGCTGCTTGGGTGTTTAAAGTTGATAACTTTAGTTTCCACCTTCACAACCAATGCCTGACACTTGTTCCCCCATAATTGCTGTATTGCTGTCCCAGTAAGAACCACACAAAATGCCCATCACTGTCTCTGGGGACTTCAGTAATGCAGTCTCAGTAAAGCAAATAGCATACACATGCATTTAATGTATAAGGAGGCCGTTCAGAAGTGCCAACACAAACATTCTGGCTGTAGAAATGCAGTTCGCCATAAATCTAAACAGCAGTTACTGCCAATCAGAGGTTACACACACATTTAATCACGATTTTCTGCATCTGCAGTTCACAATGTAAAACACTTTGGACAGAAACATTACAAATGAAATTTGCAGCTTATCTTGCCATACACTCAATTCAAGTAGTGGTGATGGAATTAACTCAGATAGTGGTGATGGAATTAACTCAGATAGTGGTGATGGAATTAACTCAGATAGTGGTGATGGAATTAACTCAGATAGTGGTGATGGAACTGTAATTCAATGATTGTTCTGTCAACTGGATCTTTGTTTTCACTTCTTTTGCTTATGCTGATAACCTCTGTTTTGTTGATATTAATTTAATATTATAATATCATTCTATCACCGTAAATATTGGATTCTTTAAAAAAAAAAACTGTACGGTCTGTCTCCATGGCCTGTATCTGTAGCACTTGCTGTCTCCATTGCCTGTATCTGTAGCACTTGCTGTCTCCAAGGCCTGTATCTGTAGCACTTGCTGTCTCCATTGATAGTGGTGATCTGGAACTTGCTGTCTCCATTGCCTGTATCTGTAGCACTAGTGGTGATGGAATCTCCATGGCCTGATATCTGTAATTCAATGACTGTGCTGTCTCCATGGATCTGTATCTGTTCTGTAGCACTTGCTGTCTTCATGGCCTTGTACTTAGCACTTGGTGTCTGCATGGCCTGTATCTGTAGCACTTGCCGTCTCCATGGCCTGTATCTGTCACTTGCTGTCTCCATGGCCTGTATCTGTAGCACTTGCTGTCTCCATTGCCTGTCATCTGTAGCATGGCTATCTGTGCAGCTTCTGTCTCCATTGCCTGTAAAAACTGTGCTGTCTCCATGGCCTGTATCTGTAGCACTTGCTGTCTTAGCATGGCCTGTATCTGTAGCACTTGCTGTCTCCATGGCCTGTATCTGTAGCACTTGCTGTCTCCATGGCCTGTATCTGTAGCACTTGCTGTCTCCATGGCCTGTATCTGTAGCACTTGCTGTCTCCATGGCCTGTAATCTGTAGCACTTGGTGTCTCCATGGCCTGTATCTGTAGCACTTGTCTGTGGCTGTATCTGTAGCATTGCCTGTATCTGTAGCACTTGCTGTCTCCATGGCCTGTATCTGTAGCACTTGCTGTCTCCATGGCCTGTATCTGTAGCACTTGCTGTCTCCATGGCCTGTATCTGTAGCACTTGCTGTCTCCATGCCTGTATCTGTAGCCTTGTATGGCCTGTATCTGCACTTGCTGTCTCCATGTAGCCTTTGTATCTGTAGCACTTGGTGTCTCCATGGCCTGTATCTGTAGCACTTGGTGTCTCCATGGCCTGTATCTGTAGCACTTGGTGTCTCCATGGCCTGTATCTGTAGCACTTGGTGTCTGTGTATCTGTAGCCTTGGTGTCTCCATTGCCTGTATCTGTAGCACTTGCTGTCTCCATGGCCTGTATCTGTAGCACTTGGTGTCTCCCTGTATCATGTAGCCTGTATCTGTAGTAGCACTTGCTGTCTCCATGGCCTGTATCTGTAGCACTTGCTGTCTCCATGGCCTGTATCTGTAGCACTTGGTGTCTTCATGGCCTGTGTATCTGTAGCACTTGGTGTCTCCATGGCCTGTAGTAGCACTTGCTGTCTCCATGGCCTGTATCTGTAGCACTTGCTCCATGGCCTGTAATCTGTAGCACTTGCTGTCTCCATGGCCTGTATCTGTAGCACTTGCTGTCTCCATGGCCTGTATCTGTA